GATAATGGATATATTGTGAACTATCATTTGAAAATACTACTTTATTTTACTTTATTATTTAATGCTATTGATGTTTTCCATAATACAATATTTATCAAAGTATTCATCCTGAAACAAATCTATTAATGTATACTAAGGCAAGTATGAATATATATGAGTATTTTGGAAGAAGTTAAGTTGAGATTATTCAGCTGCTTATGCTAACACTCATTTTCAGCAAAATTTCATTCAACAATTATGTTGTAATTTACCTTAGCTAACATTTGTTACTTAAAATTTATTCAAACAAATGGGGTTATCTATTAACAACAAATTATATTGATTAATGGATAAAGATAATGAAATTGTTTGCTTGCAGAAAGGGTTCCAAATCATTAAAATTTAATCTTCTACTTGAGAAAAAAAGTACGAACTTTTCGTACATTCAAAATAATAAGTTTTGAAAAAAGCAAGTAGCAAATCTATGGAGTCTACCCATTGTCACAGTGTTTGCTCAAAATTAAATTATACTCAGCATTGATTTTCATGATGATAAACTGAAGCTCTGACCTAAAAGAACTGATAATCTCATAGGCTGGCTCATACTTCATTGTATTATCACTTTACGATAACTGTATAGTAGCACAAGTGCTTCCTGTTTACCATCTTATTTGTCACAATGTCTTCAATTTCCTCAAGAGTTTCTTATTCCCACAACCAAGGATAAGTTGATTCACTAGCACTATGCACACTTTCTATTTCAGTTGGTTTCAGTTTTCTTTGGATTAAGTGACCCGTCATTTATGTATTCTTCAAGGCACTACACAGGTGAACTCAAAGAAAGAAATTATTCCAAATTAGAAATACAAACAAAAGAAAAAATAAACAAAAGGGAGGGTTAAACAATTTACAGTTGCTACTATAACAAATGAAGTATTGAAGGTTTTTAGGTTATACTTATATATCTGATACATGTAAAATTAGTTACATTTATTGAATCCTTAACCAAGTTTTATTAATGATACTATGGGAGATTCTGATGAGAAAGTGCTACTGAATGGGCAAAAATTTCTTTAAGTTAGTGTCAAATGATTAATTTTGCTTAAATGAAGTGAAACATTTACATGCTATGCACTCAAACTACTGTTTCTGTAATTGGTTCCAAACAAGAGAATTTTAAACCAAAACAAGTTTAACTGAATTTGATACTAATGAGACATGTAGGCCTTACTCTTTCTTAAAACTTATTGTGAGAAATATTTGAAATGTTTGACACCTAGTCCTTGTTTCAGAATTTCTTATAGCAAATGACTATAAAATAAAGTAAATTTTTACACAGAATGTTTTTTGCATTACATGCGTCCCCACAAGTACTTTGCAAATAAAGGGAGCTTTGGACAAATGATTGTGCAATGCAACACTATTCCACAAATAAAAGGAGAACTAAAAATTAAAAGTTGCTCCTGTTTTCTGTTTCAAATGATATTCGTTTCCTATTCTTTGTATTTCCAGTGGGATCTTTTCTGGTTTTGACATTTTAAGCTATAAGCTGTTTCTCTTTTTCAAATTTATGTTTTATTTTTTCAATTTAAGATTAAAAAGACTTAGAAAAAAAAAACCAAAAAAGAAATGCAGACAAACAAACAATAAGAAAACAAGTACAAAGAAAGTGTAGACTTACAAAACACGATGATAGGAATTGGACAATGGTTGTAATGTTATATATTGTTACCTCCAAGACAGTTGCTTAGACTAACAGAAATAGATATGTAAAATTAATCTAAACATGTATTAACTGTTCTTTTCAAATGACTAATACAAGTTATATAGTCACTTTAGCTATCATATATATCATATATGATGACTAAAGTGTATTTACAAATTTATGTCTTTTCATTTTATCTATAAGCTGTTTCTCTATAGAATATTAAAAATATTGTCCACACAACATTATTCAGTATTCTTGGTCTATTATGTACAATTCAACATTATTTCATTTGGTACTTTGATTTAACTTGTTCATAATTTCCTATTTATGTAATACATCACGATGAACACAACATGATGATCTATTATTCTTGAATTAGCACCCATGTACCACTGAATTTCTTGATGCCAGAAGCTGTATGAAGGCTGAATATAAGCATTACATGAACTGCTAGAATGTTATTTCATCAGTGTAATTTCAAATATCATTTAACAATCAAACAGACACTGAAAATGAGAGCATTTATCAAAATATTAAAATACAAGATAAGAATTTCCAAAGAGAGTGATTCTTCAAAAGAACATATCTTAGCACCACATTAAATCACTGACTAAAACTGTATCCTTGGCTTCATTGAATTTTAAAATTTTGATAAAATCTTCCAGGATAACTTCTGTGTAATATAATGGACTCTCAAGATTTGATGAAATAGATGTTGCTCAGTATAGTTAGGAGAAGAAATAGCAAATATGAACCTAAGTGCTAAATGTAGACTTTCTGTGTGTTTTGTTTTCCCAAAACTTTAAAATCTAAATATTCATTTGCTGCATTCAAATTTTATTTTAAACCTCCGAAAAAATGAGAATAAATTCGTAGACTCCCTTTAAAACTCACAAATTCAGGTGATACTAATATTACTCTTACAGGACACCAACTGCAGAACATTTTCTATTGACAAAGCTCACCTTGTACTTAACAATCTCTCCATCCTCCTCTTCAGTTTACCTCCTGTTTCATTCATTTGCAACAGTAGTATGAAATTTAGTATTCTTAAATTTAGAGATTAAAGAGCTACGAGAAAACAAACAAAAACAGAATAGGATGAAAAAGTGAGCCACAGGGTAAGACTGCACTGGTTTCTTTGAAGGAGCCGCTCCATACATCATAGAAATGAAAGCAGGTTCCTTCATGGACTGTACCACACTTGTCATTTCATTGCTTTAAAACTAAATAATCAGAGGAATTCTCTCAGAAATATTGGTCAAAGCCCACTTGTAACAAAATGTAAACCGCCTGTGAGCAATTATTCATCAGAGGTAGAAAGAACTCAGAATGAGATCAGATTTTTGTTTCTGCTAGATATTACGGACTTGAAGTCCTCAAGTCGGATGCAGTCACAGTGGGGAGTGTAGCTGGTGACTGGATTAGGTGGTGGCTGGTGGTCGGTTGTGGAAATGGATTAAGAGTGTGGCGCTGTGATTAAGGCTGTGGACCCCTCCCCAGCAGGTGCAGGCATAAATCAACAGGCATGTAGCCTGGAGGGGATGGAGGGGATATATAAAGAGAGGGAAGGCAGCCTGGCTCCTGCCTCTGCTCACTGCTTTGGCTGTTTGTTGCTCTCTTTCCTGTCACACCTTGGGGCCTTTCTCCTTCATGATGTCTCTCTGCCAGCCTGCCCTACTTTGAAAAACGAGTCAACAGGAAACTGAAATCTCTACACACTGTAAGCTGAACTGAATCTCTCCTCCTTTAACTTTGGGTGTCCCGTATCTTAGCTCAGCAAGAGAAAAGTAAACAAGACACTAACCATGTATCAAAAAAGAGGTTGGAAAAACAACTCAAACATTTAATGACTGTTTTGAAATGTTAAGAACATCAGTTGCACACAAAGATATAGGATGAAATGTTACACTTAAAATATGTGTTCTAACACCAGAAAAAATATATGACAAATTTCAATAGTATAAACTTTGTTTCTGAGAGCAGGTTGTTTGATTAATGAGACTATAAGAATGGTGTTTATTAAAATCAAAAAATACCCCTGCTTTCTTACAGTCCAAAAAACAGATTTAATTGTTTTCAAAACCTTAATATAGGTAAATGAAATTTGAAACAACTTTTGTGTAACGTTTGCCAATGGAAATTTTACCCTTTGGGAAGAGTGACAGAAATTCCTTGATCCTATTAATTAAAGTAAGAAGAGAGAAAACTCTCTAATTATTTAAAAGTATTCTTTTAATGCACACTGTCTTTTATCTTCTTCCACACACTTTTTGTTTATCACGTTTCTCCAGCTTTGTAAGATATCATTGAACGCTGATGTGTCAGTGTTTGCCTATTAACGTTACTGCTTTATGTCCCAAACAACACCTTAGTTCATTAATCAGAGAATACAGGGAATTTATATTACAGTGGGGACCCGCAGGCTTCATGCAAAAGTGTTATGAGTCTACAGATTAGGGCTGTGATTTCTCCTGTTTCTGTGTTCTGTGTATTGTACTTACTCTTTCTTTTCATTGTAAAATTAGCATGTGTTTTCCAAACAGTAACTTACTTTAAAAGTAGCATCTCCCTGGGTTGGGAAACATCCAAATTAAGAAGTGGGAACATTGATGGTATCTTGGAAGTAGTATAATAGAAAATGAGTGAGTCAATCTTTTTAATGAGTTTGAATTGAAACATTTATGATTGTCATATGCAAATTACTGTAACTTTTGTTACTTTTATCCTAGACATTACTTTTTTGAAAACAAAATTTTATAAAAAATTATAAAAAGTGTCTTAAGTGGAAAAAAATAAAAACAATAATATATAATTTCAAAACTAAATAGTAGGAGTTTGACAAAAGTTAACGTATTGCATATTATTGTCTTCAAAATACTGTTCAGCTTACAAGACACGGGCATGAATAAAAGGATTAGACCATGAAAACACATACTCTTATTTTTGATGAAAAACAGACTAGTAGGTATAATTATCTGTCATGTATATATATATATATATATCCTTCTTTGTTTTCTCCTTTTCCTCATTCTATATGTTATTTCCTTTTGAGCAATTCCCTCTACTTTCATTTACACAGTCAGACACTGTTATACATTTTGCATCTTATTTACTCTTCCAACTCTTTACACTAGGAAGACAATAAGATGTTTATACATGCAAGTCTGATCTATTTCACTTATGAGTATGATCTGAAGTTGATTCCATTTATATATAAAAATGTTGAGTTTATCCTTCTTTATAGCTGCGCACTTATCCATTGTATAAATATCTTTTTAAATTTTTGTTCTTTTAAATAATTGTTTTTATAACCACTCGATTGTGTTTCTCCCCTCTTGCTCCTTCCAAGGAGACAGCAAGAATGATCATCAGTGGCAAGTGGCAGCTGCACTCAAGCACACGAAGAGCTTCACGCTCAGGACGGAATACTATGCTTCCTCCTCATGGTTGCTAATACTGTACAGGATTAGAGAAGCTTCTCTAGTAACAGACTATGGAAGTGACCCCTGAAAGTATAGCTTTACATCTTTTTTATCCATTCTCTGTTCAGTGGGCACTTGATTTGTTTCTAAGATTTAGCTGTTTTAAGCTATGTTATATGTTATTTTGCAGATAATGTTGGATATAAAAATCAAAACTGCTTAGAAAGTTTCTTTTTCCAAAATAAATTCTGTCTTCGTGTTAAGTACACAATGACAATCCAGCACAGTGACTTTCAAATTCAATTTCCTTCATGATCCTACCAAATAACTCTGTAGTGAGAGGATATTTCTGGTCTTTTGTTCCATACCAAATAATGGGCCTCCACAATTCAGGGAGGAAGGAAGGAAAAAGTTTTTTTAAAAAGACATAGTGATTTAATATAAGAGATTTATTTGATAATATATATTTCTACATAGAGGTAAGGCATTTAATATTTAAGAGACAGTGCAATGTAATGATTTTAAATAAATTTATGTATTGTAAAAAGGCCTTACTTTTCTTTGCTTAAAATAACAGAAAACTTGTGTAATTCAGATTTAAGAATACAAAAATGGACAGAGAAATGTCCCTATGGTAAGTTTTTCTTTAATAATTTAAAACAGATATGTTTATATGTCTGCAATAAAAACAAACATTAAGTGAATATAATATTATATGTAAAATATGTTGATAATATTATTGTTTTAGATTTTACTCATATTCTGAGATTATGCATAGATGAATTTTGAAAAAAGCACAATACCTAAATATAAAGAAGTATTCCCTTGAAGCCTCATTATCTAAATGTTACCTTTTTTTTTTTTTTTTTTATCGGTATCAGGGATCGAACTCATGACCACCTGCTTTCAAGGCTGGTGCTTATGCTGCTGAGCTAAATCCCCAGCCCCATGAATGTTACTTTTCAAAATTACTATTTTATGAGACATTTTTAAAATTCAATTTATGTCACAGTATACATATATAAATGTAAATTTATATACTATATAAATATATAAAAGCAAGTATATAAATATATAGGAATGATTATACATAGGTATGTATAAATGTGTATATATCTAATGTTTCTTAGATTTTTTATTTTAAAGAGAGAAAAGTAATAAAAAGTGATAGCAAATTTCAAAACTAGGTAGTAGGAGTGTAAAGATGGTTAATACATTGAGTATTGTTATCTTTAAAACAATTGCTCACTTTACAAGGTATTGGCATGAAAAAATATAAATACAAACCTTTCTTTTAGTGAGCGAATAAAAATTGTAGTATAACTCTCTTAGCTATCTCGTAAATATATTTTCCCCTTTCTCTTCTTTCTTTCCTCTTTTCCTCATTTATAGGCATGCCAAAAAAAAAAAACCCTATGGATGTTTTCATGGAATCTGAGGATTAGAGTAATAAATTCAAATTATCTGGTAGACCTTATTTTTGTCATTGCTTAATTATCTGTTTTGGGGATTTTATAAAATAAATGTATTTTACCTGATAAATAAAAACATAAGCTTGCATATATGAATAGACTATCATGTATTTTGATATAGTATATATTATTATTAGACATGGTTAGACATACCTGCATATTTTGTTTTGCAAATAGATTATCACTCACGACCTTACATCCTCAGATGGTTGGGCTTATGGGAGGTTCTTGGACTGTGAACGTGCTGGAGAGAGCCAGGGGCTGGTTAGAGGAGTCACTAGGGAATGAATGGATAATGTCATTTCCTAGCTCTTCCCTTCTTTCTGCCTCCAGCCCACCATGACCTGAGCAGCTCTCCTTGCCCCAGGCCCTCCCAGTCTGCTATTTTCTGTGTTTGACCTGACAGACATGAACTGAAATTCTCGAAACCAAGGTCCACTGTAAATACTTCACAGATATCTAGTCTTAGTGAAGAAAAGGGACTAAGAATGCCTCATTAAATATTTGTCATGTTTTGTACAGAACATATTCAAAACCCATTCTTTTAGCTTTTTCACATATACAGTATGTGTTATCGATAGTTATTCCACAGTGGAACGCTTTTAATGATAAGGAACTTGGTACCCATTGGCCTATGTTGCCCCATTCTTCCTTCAAATTTTTGTACCTTTAAGAAAAAGAAAACCTACAGTATCACTTAGATTTATGTAATGTTGAGCTTTATTACTTTTAAAGAATATCTACTATATTGAACTAAGTGTAGTTTACTTCTGAGAATTACTTGAAAGAATTTGATTGTATAAGTATTGTATGTGTTCTAAGTGGTTCATCTGTTTTCCTCATATACAACATTGTTTACTTTTACTATTTCGAAAGTTGTAATTATTACTTTTGGTAACTAGATAGAGGAAAATTTAAAAAGACAAAACCAAAAGAAAAATGTCAAAAGAATGCCAGAGTCCGTCTGGTGTTCACACTTGTTTTATGTTTTCTACAGATGCTGTAGCACTGTATAGTTCTTTGATTAGCAAACTTTTTAGAAAACTTTTCTTATTCTCCCTCTCTCACAATAGTAATGGGACAACTAATCAATGATTAATTACTTGCACTATCATTGGATATAAATTCTTGCAGCCTTTAATTTATGCCCCAAAAAACATTACCTCTCAGAATGCAGAAGAGCTAGTGTTCTACAAATTGCTTATTGAATAATATCACTTTAAATATTTACTATCTTTAGCAGTTATAAGTTTTTTTCACCTTTTTGTTGAAATATAATTTATATGCTATGAGACTTGCTTTAAGTTATAAAATCCAGTATTTTCTTATTTATTTGTCACAAGGTTTTGCAAACATCGCTACTATCTAATTCTAGAATATTTTCCTCACCCTTACTCTCTGGGATGCACTTCACATATCTATTTCAACTTCCACTGAAATTGCTTATATAGAATTACAAATTGTGGATATTAAATATGAAAAAATCATGCAATACATGGCCTCTTGCATCAATTTATTTCACTTATTATAATGTCTATAAGGTGCACACATTTTGGATGATAAAGTAGTAATTATTTCTTCCTTTCTAAATAATTTTCCATTTTACAGAGATACCACTTATGCTCACCCAGTGACCAACTGCTATACATTCTGTAGATTTCCTTTTTGATTTTTATAACCAATGTTTCTTTAGGTATTTGGACACACATTGTGTGTGGACATACACCTTCCAAATTCTTAAGTATAGTTAACAGTTGAATTGCTAAGGTTTTCTCGTGTGTGTGAATGTAAGTGTAACTCTCCTTCTAAACCATTCACCAGATCATTACATCATTTTAAAGATTCCAGTTTCTCTACATTGTTGCTTGTGTTTAGTATTGCCCGTTCTTCTTTGATTGCCATTCTAGGAAGGATTAAGAGGCTTTTCCTTATATTAATTAGCATTTTCTTTAAGGAGAAAAAGAAAAAAAAAACAGAAAAAGGGCACAAGTAATACAAAATTTAAAAAATAAACAGTAAGAAATCACTAGTTAATAGATTACATATTCTCATCTTACAAATAGTTGTTCAAGTTACAAAATTGAAGCATATAAAGTGGACTTTCAAACAGTGAGAGTGCAGTTTTGTTCAATGATCCAAAAAAGACTAATATGGTTATCTATCTCCTACACTTAAACATATATGCAGTTATAACCTTTAGAGCACTTTCTTTTCTTTTCTTTTGTACAATGACAATTACACATTTTGGGTTTTATTACTCCCACATTTCTTACTACGTTTTTTGAAGAGTGTAAAACCAAATGTGACACATGAGAACAGAGTCAGTAAAAACAAAAGGATGGACATAATAGATAATGTAAAAACAAAATATAAGGTGATCAACAATGGTTAACATACTGCCTCTTGCCATTTTAAGAAGAATTGCCAGTTATAATAAAATTGAACTAAACAGGAAAGAATAAAACCGAAGCATTGGAGACATTACAGGATTTTAAAAGAAAATGATAGTAAACCGGAATGGGCGTCATAATGATTCTTATTGTCTCCACAGTTACGCCTATACTTTCGAACTCGGTACTATCAAGCAAATCAGAATAGAGGAAAATCAGTCAAACAAGATGGTGAGGGCAATACAGAATTTCAAATCAAGTTAATAGGAAATCAAAGTAGGTTACTATAATGTATCCTGCTTTTTTATTTATTTTTCCCTTAATTAAAAAGATAAAGAGAAAAAAGTAATTTTTTTTTAAAAAGGGCATTGAGATAAAATAGGGCATAACAACAGAACAGCACAGGTCAAAACATAACCATTTAAGCAAAATAGTGTTTCACCACAAGATATCCTGACATAAAAATAGTTATCATAGTGTGTCTTTCCTTGAAATCTTTGAGTATAACTTCGTATACTGTAGCACCAAACATATCAAGACACTTTAAAACCATTCAAGAGAATGACATTATTACAGGGTATTCAGAATCAGCTAACAGAAAATGAACAATGGTTTCTGTATAATCTCCTAGTCTACAAAAGTTTTTGCTTATATTACCACATATAATAAAATTCAATAAGATACAACATTTTAAGACTAATGGAGACAGAAGAATACAATTTTGATGGGACTTCAAAACAAGATGATACTAAATCAGCACTAGCTATTATGTCTTGTTTTCTCCAAAATAGCTTTTCCTACCATCAAATCTTCCCTGCCTCATTTCTGTTGAGCTCTTTTTCTGTCGTTTGTTGTCAGTTTGTCTTCTTCATTTCGTTTTCTGCTCCATTCATTGTGGCCTCTCTGCAACTATTTCTGGAATCTTGGTATTTTCTTTTTTAGACTATCCTGCAGTATTCTCTGTTGAGTTGAATTGGTGGTTGCAAATTCCCCTAGTTCCTCTTTATCCTGGAAGTACCTTGTTTTTCCATCAATTTCTAGGGACAGTTGTGCAGGATATATCAATCTTGTCTGGAAGTTATTATCTTTCAAAGCTTGAATTATTTCTCCCCCACGCTTCTCGTGATTTGATGGTTTGTACTGAGAAGTCTGCTGTAATTTTGATGGGTGTTCCCTTGTAAGTGATCTGTTTCTTGTCTTGATGGCTTTTAATATTCTGTTCTTATATTGGATTTCTG